TCAAAGTGACATCATCCATGCCCTGACGTGGCCTTTCAAAGTGACATCATCCATGTCCTGACGTGACCTCTCAAAGTGACATCATCCATGTCCTGACGTGACCTCTCAAAGTAACATCATCCATGCCCTGACGTGACCTCTCAAAATTACATCATCCATGCCCTGACGTGACCACTCAAAGTGACATCATCCATGCTCTGACGTGAGCTCTCAAAGTGACATCATCCATTTCCTGACGTGACCTCTCAAAGTGACATCATCCATGCCTTGACGTGACCTCTCAAAGTGACATCATCCATGCCCTGACGTAACCTCTCAAAGTGACATCATCCATGCCCTGACGTGACCTTTCAAAGTGACATCATCCATGCCCTGACGTGACCACTCAAAGTGACATCATCCATGCCCTGACGTGAGCTCTCAAAGTGACATCATCCATGCCCTGACGTGACCTCTCAAAGTGACATCATCCATGCCCTGACGTGACCTCTCAAAGTGACATCATCCATGCCCTGACGTGACCTCTCAAAGTGACATCATCCATGCCCTGACGTGACCTCTCAAAGTGACATCATCCATGTCCTGACGTGACCTCTCAAAGTAACATCATCCATGTCCTGACGTGACCTCTCAAAGTGACATCATCCATGCCCTGACGTGACCTCTCAAAGTGACATCATCCATGCCCTGACGTGACCTCTCAAAGTGACATCATCCATGCCCTGACGTGACCTCTCAAAGTGACATCATCCATGCCCTGACGTGACCACTCAAAGTGACATCATCCATTTCCTGACGTGACCTCTCAAAGTGACATCATCCATCTCCTGACGTGACCTCTCAAAGTGACATCATCCATGCCCTGACGTGACCTCTCAAAGTGACATCATCCATGCCCTGACGTAACCTCTCAAAGTGACATCATCCATGCCCTGACGTGACCTTTCAAAGTGACATCATCCATGCCCTGACGTGACCACTCAAAGTGACATCATCCATGCCCTGACGTGAGCTCTCAAAGTGACATCATCCATGCCCTGACGTGACCTCTCAAAGTGACATCATCCATGCCCTGACGTGACCTCTCAAAGTGACATCATCCATGCCCTGACGTGACCTCTCATAGTGACATCATCCATGCCCTGACGTGACCTCTCAAAGTGACATCATCCATGTCCTGACGTGACCTCTCAAAGTGACATCATCCATGTCCTGACGTGACCTCTCAAAGTGACATCATCCATGCACTGACGTGACCTCTCAAAGTGACATCATCCATGCCCTGACGTGACCTCTCAAAGTGACAACATCCATGCCCTGACGTGACCTCTCAAAGTGACATCATCCATGCCCTGACGTGACCACTCAAAGTGACATCATCCATGCTCTGACGTGAGCTCTCAAAGTGACATCATCCATGTCCTGACGTGACCTCTCAAAGTGACATCATCCATGCCCTGACGTGACCTCTCAAAGTGACATCATCCATGCCCTGACGTGACCACTCAAAGTGACATCATCCATGCCCTGACGTGAGCTCTCAAAGTGACATCATCCATCTCCTGATGTGACCTCTCAAAGTGACATCATCCATCTCCTGACGTGACCTCTCAAAGTGACATCATCCATGCCCTGACGTGACCTCTCAAAGTGACATCATCCATGTCCTGACGTGACCTCTCAAAGTGACATCATCCATGCCCTGACGTAACCTCTCAAAGTGACATCATCCATGCCCTGACGTGACCTATCAAAGTGACATCATCCATGCCCTGACGTGAGCTCTCAAAGTGACATCATCCATGCCCTGACATGACCTTTCAAAGTGACATCATCCATGCCCTGACGTGAGCTCTCAAAGTGACATCATCCATGCCCTGACATGACCTCTCAAAGTGACATCATCCATGTCCTGACGTGACATCATCCATGTCCTGACGTGACCTCTCAAAGTGACATCATCCATGCCCTGACGTGACCACTCAAAGTGACATCATCCATGCCCTGACGTGGCCTCTCAAAGTGACATCATCCATGTCCTGACGTGACATCATCCATGTCCTGATGTGACCTCTCAAAGTGACATCATCCATGCCCTGACGTGACCTCTCAAAGTGACCTCATCCATGCCCTGACGTGACCTCTCAAAGTGACATCATCCATGCCCTGACGTGACCTCTCAAAGTGACATCATCCATGCCCTGACGTAACCTCTCAAAGTTACATCATCCATGCCCTGACGTGGCCTCTCAAAGTGACATCATCCATGTCCTGACGTGACCTCTCAAAGTGACATCATCCATGTCCTGACGTGACCTCTCAAAGTGACATCATCCATGCCCTGATGTGACTTCTCAAAATGACATCATCCATGCCATGACGTGACCACTCAAAGTGACATCATCCATGCTCTGACGTGAGCTCTCAAAGTGACATCATCCATGTCCTGACGTGACCTCTCAAAGTGGCATCATCCATCTCCTGACGTGACCTCTCAAAGTGACATCATCCATGCCTTGACGTGACCTCTCAAAGTGGCATCATCCATGCCCTAACGTAACCTCTCAAAGTGACATCATCCATGCCCTGACATGACCTTTCAAAGTGACATCATCCATGCCCTGACGTGACCACTCAAAGTGACATCATCCATGCCCTGACGTGAGCTCTCAAAGTGACATCATCCATGCCCTGACGTGACCTCTCAAAGTGACCTCATCCATGCCCTGACGTGACCTCTCAAAGTGACATCATCCATGCCCTGATGTGACCTCTCAAAGTGACATCATCCATGCCCTGACGTGACCTCTCAAAGTGACATCATCCATGCCCTGACGTGGCCTTTCAAAGTGACATCATCCATGTCCTGACGTGACCTCTCAAAGTGACATCATCCATGTCCTGACGTGACCTCTCAAAGTAACATCATCCATGCCCTGACGTGACCTCTCAAAATTACATCATCC